CCCCCCCCAAAAAAAATTCCCAAAAAATCTCCCTGAGAGAATTCCATCTTGGACAGGTCCGGCATTCCCGGGAATCCCCGGAAAATTCCGGAGCCGAAATTCCCGGGAATCCCAAAAAAAACCCCGGGAAAATCGGCCCAGGGGGGACCCAGATCCCCAAAAAAATCCCCAAAAATCCCGTTTAAATCGGGTTAAAATTGTGGGATTTGGGGGATTTTGGAGATTTTTTGGGAATTCTTGGGATTCCTAAAATTTGGGAATTTTTTGGATCCAAAATTCCCAAAAAATCCCCCAAAAAATCCCCAAAAATTCAATAAAAAAATCCCCAAAATCCCGTTTTAATCAGGTTAAAATGATGGAATTTTGGGGGATTTTGGGGTGTTTTGGATGGAATTTTTGGGAATTCTTGGGATTCCCAAAATTTGGGAATTTTTTGGATCCAAAAATCCCCAAAATTCCCCAAAAAATCCCAAAAAATTCAAAAAAAAATCCCAAAAAAATCCCCAAAAAATCCCCAAAAATTCCAAAAAAAATCCCCCAAAAATCCCATTTAAATCGGGTTAAAATTGTGGGATTTGGGGGATTTTTGGGGTTTTTTTGGGAATTCTTGGAGTTCCCGAAATTTGGGAGTTTTTTGGATCCAAAATTCCCCAAAATTCCCAAAAAAAACCCCAAAAATTCCCCAAAAAATCCCCAAAAAATCCCCAAAAATTCCATAAAAAAATCCCCAAAAATCCCGTTTAAATCGGGTTAAAATTGTGGGATTTGGGGGATTTTTGGGGATTTTGGGGTGTTCTTGGGATTCCCAAAATTTGGGAATTTTTTGGATCCAAAAATCCCCAAAATTCCCAAAAAATCCCCCAAAAAATCCCCAAAAAATCCCCAAAAAAATCCCCAAAAATCCCATTTAAATCGGGTTAAAATTGTGGGAATTTGGGGGATTTTGGGGTGTTTTGGATGGAATTTTTGGGAATTCTTCGAATTCCCAAAATTTGGGAATTTTTTGGATCCAAAATTCCCCAAAATTCCCAAAAAAATCCCCCAAAAAATCCCCAAAAATCCCCAAAAATCCCAAAAAATCCCCAAAAATCCCGTTTTAATTGGGTTAAAATTGTGGGATTTGGGGGATTTTTGGGGGTTTTTTGGGAATTCTTGGAGTTCCAGGAATCTGGGATTTTTCTGGGATAGGAATTCCCAGAATTCCCAAAAAAAACCCCGGGAAAATCGGCCCAGGGGGGACCCAGATCCCAAAAAAATCCCGTTTTATTGGGTTAAAATTGTGGGATTTTTGGGGATTTTGGGGTGTTCTGGAGGAGTTTTTTGGGAATTCTTGGGATTCCCAAAATTTGGGAATTTTTTGGATCCAAAAATCCCCAAAATTCCCAAAAAAATCCCCCAAAAAATCCCAAAAAAATCCCAAAAAATCCCCAAAAATTCAATAAAAAAATCCCCAAAAATCCCATTTAAATCGGGTTAAAATTGTGGGATTTGGGGGATTTTTGGGGTTTTTTTGGGAATTCTTGGAGTTCCAGGAATCTGGGATTTTTCTGGGATAG